TTACTCACACACCCACAGTATTAGATGGAAAGATTAGAATTCATTTTCCAAAAATGATTAGCATTTTACCAATTAAAAGAATTCCTTCTCCCTGCCAGCAGCCCTGAGACCTCACTCACTGAACGATCATTTAAATGAAACATATTTTCATCAGAAGATGGGGGAGGAAGAAGTGAAGAGTAAGGCTGTCTTTATTCTTAGCACCTTCTCGGGGCACAGCAAGTGCATGGTTCCCCATGAGTTTATAATGTCTCACTCTATTTGCATAGTCATTCACTTCTGTCACTTTAGATTACACCCCCAGATTCTTTGTTACCCTGCAGGAATTAAAAAATGAAAAGGTTAGTAGAAGATGAGGCCAAAAGGAAGCAATGGAAGAGTCTAAGGGCAATAAAGACCATTTCTAGGATCCAATAGTTGGACTAGTGTGGGGACTTGGTGGCTGGCTCTATCCTGAGCACCAGCTTAGAACAGACTCTGCTGGTGCTGCCCACAGCTGCTCCCTAAAGCATGGAGTTCTATCTCTTGGGCCCCCCTACCAACTTCCACTGAGGACTGGGTGCCATCTTGGTGCCTCAGCTCAGCTTACAAGTCTTGGGCACTAAATATGACTGCTCTCCGGCACCACAGCCCACCATCTCTCCATCTCCACCAAGCTATCCATCTACCAGCCACTTGGAACTTGTCATTTCTTAACTATCCCATGTTCTTTTATACCTGGCTCCTTCTAACCTGCTATTTGGCTTGCCGGTAAGTCTTTTGCCTATTCTGTTAGAGCATTCACCAGTCATGCTCTGCCCAGTGTAAATGTCACTTTGCAGTGACTAGAATAGCTACCTCCCCCATTTGTACTGTCAGATCCCCCAATGTATCCTGAATTTTTGGACTCTATTATATCATACATAACTGTAGTGAGCTACTGAGTCAGGAAAAAGGCTCTTACTCTGCTCAGCATTCTCAGCCTCTTGCACATGGTAGGTGGTATACACATGTTTTTCAAATGGCTTAATGAATTGTAGGCATAGATCTACCCTTCCCACCCCCTCCATCAGCCTTATCAACTCTCAGCCTAACAGGAAAAGCATGGTCAGATCAGCAAACATCACAGAGGAAGGAATAGAGACATTTGTGTACAGGTGGGCATTCCCTCTTCACCTGTGCGCCTCACCTAGTACCACGTCCAAAGGGAGCTGACCCTTGCTGAGTCAATCTCTGGGCTCTGGTTGGGTTCAGCTAATGGGAGACCCTAGCAAGAGTTTGGAGGCAGGGAAGAAAGGGAGATGAAGGCATTTCTTTCAGAGTCTCCCCGTGCTTCAATTTCACATCTCTGATGTTAGCTACACAGGACAAGGTGGAGAAGATGAAAAAACTATGTGGAGAAGGGCATGTTGAAAATAACTTGCCCGAGATTGCTTCTGAGATGGGAATTTCAGAATGTTTGTCATCATGTGTCAGCTTTGTGACAGGAGGCCCCAAGTCAAGTGCAATGTTAAGGTCTCCAGACCCTCACAGTGGCCTGTGTTCAGCCCAGAGTACTGCCCAGGTGCAAAGGTCAACTGACCAGGATAGACACAAGTAGGCATTGACTGGGGCAGAAGGCTGCCAGGTCTTTAGCCAAAAGCACATCTAAATAGAAATGCCACCTCGATGTCATACTTGATGTGTTTTTAAAGCTTTTTGTCAGGCATTGTTTCGTTTTATTCCCTAATAACACTTTGAATTAAATATTTTGCTGATGGGGAAACTGACTTAATCATGCTGCTGGACAAGTAAACTGTGAAACAAACCAGAGCCTGCTGACATCCAGGCTATGATCTTTCCAGTCTATGATATTTGTCATCTTTACTGGGCTCTGGGCTCCATTCCCAGATGCACTCTTATAAGCTGCGTGACCTTAGTCAAGTGACTCAACTTCTCTGTGTATCAGTTTCTTCATCAATAAGACAAACACAGTATGTTTCTCTTGTGATTGTTGTAAAGACTAAGAAAGAGAGAGGGGCTTCTCAGAGACTGGAAGAAGGGACAACGTTTTGAGCTTTCCATGAGAAGCCAAGACCAGGTCCTCCTGAACTTGGCAGAAGAGGCTGACCTTCTGCAGAACCTGAAACTGGTGAAAGCACCTGGAAAACAGGCCCTCACACCTGGCTGATGAGGTGTGTAAACACTGGGCTGGTACAACCCCAATGACTAGGAGGAACCCCCGCCCAACTATTGTCCACTGCCTAAATGATACAGGTTACCAGCAGGCAGGTGGGGACTAAGACAGGTTTTCATTTATTCTTATTATTTTTCTATTACAGTTTGCATTCAACACTATTTTGAATTAGTTTCAGGTGTACAACACATCAGATTGACATTCATATAGGTCAGCGATTTTCAACTGGTGTGCTGCAGAATTTTTAAAACACATAATACCTGACTATTCCGTCAGGGGCCCTGACTTCTTTCCCTTTAGCTTGCTAAATAAAAAAAAAAAAAAAAAAAAAAAAAAAAGACAAAAGCCAACGCAACAGTAGCATCTGGTGTGAATGAATCAAATTATACCTATTTTTGTCAGATTGGCAAAAAATACATTTTGGGTGTGTTATGGAATTATAGTAATTCAAGTGCTCACCTGGCTCCATAGTTATTATGATATTAAGTATATTCCCTATGCTTTATCTTACATCCCCATGACTATTTTGTAACAATTTAGAAGTACCATTTAGTACTTCTTAATCCCATCACCTTATTTTACCCTGCCCCTCAACATCCCTCCCCTCTGGCACCCATCAGTTCGTTCTCTGTATCAGTAAGTATGTTTCAATTTTGTTTGTTTATTTTGTTTTTCAGGTTCCATATAAGTGATATCATATGGTATTTGTCTTTCTTTGTCTGGCAGAACTAAGCTAGATTTAATTTTATTTCTTCTTAAAAAGGAAATTGATCCTTGCTGTGAAAAATTAAATGAAATAATTATGCAGAAAATACCTACTTTCCACAGTGCCTAACATTTAGTAGATGCTGCATACTAGTTCCCTTCCCTGTATTTAACACTAATGGGTAAGTGTTAGCAGGATTCTGGGGCACAGCCTGTTCCTTCATGGGCTAGTGGGTGTGCAGTTTGGGTGACAACAAATTGCCCAGCAGCTGCCATCCAGAGAGCAGAGATAGCCTGGCTCTCACTTGCCTGCAAGTCACCTCCACCACCGGAGTGACCATCCCAGCACACTGTGTGTGTGTGTGTGTGTGTGTGTGTGTGTGTGTGTCTGCTTCATGCACTAATGAAAGGGAAGCTAGCCAGGCCTCAGCTGTTAGACACATTCTGAGTCCTGGGAGATAGAAACTCCGGCAGCAGTCAGGGTGAGTGTGAAAGAAAGACCCATGCCCTGGCCCTCTATACACCAGAGCCAGGTCAGGAGGCAAGTGCACAAAGGTACCTGTAGTCTAGAAAGGGCTTGGAGAGCTAGGGAAGAAGGGACACTCTGTACTGAGGGCAGCCCAGAGAAAGGCTGCCATGTGACAACCTCTTGCTTGTGGCACCCACAGAGCTGCCACCTCCACTGAACAGCCTAGATACTGCAGGCTAATTAAAGGGAAAAAAAAGAACTCAAGGAATGGAGGAGGGAGCTGAAAGAGAGGATAACAGGGATGGGGTGGGCTGCTGCTGTGCTCAGAGTTAGGAGACGTGAAAATGAATCCCAGTCTTTCAATTACCAGCTTTGTAACCTCAGGCACATTACTACAGGAAGCCTGCTTCTTCACCTGAAAGATGTGAATCGCAGTCCTCGTATCACAGGGAGGACCTTTGTAAAAACACACAATTAATTTTATACACACTAATGTCTGTACTACTCACACCAAGCAATGTGATATTTATTTTGTTCATGGCTGTACTCCTAGCCACCTGCAGGGCCTGGCCATAGCAGGTGCTCAACAAATGTTTACTGATGCTTGATCGGAAGGTGCCGTTGCAGCTCCTGGTGTTTTTGAGGGTATTTGTGAGACACTTCTATGAGGAACAAAAGGACAGCAGAGTCTCAGGGTGGGGGGCTGCCTGGTGGTGAGACCCTGGGAAGCTGCTACAGAGCAGTGAACCTGGAGCAGAGAAGAAGTATGCCTGGTGGGCAAAATCCCAGGAGTCCCAGGTGAGGCTTCCTTTCTGGGAACCTTGGCCCAATTGCATTTAAACAGCTCTGCAACACAGCAGTTGCCTTGGAATCCACAAGAAGGGCACCCAAAACAGCACAATACCTGGCAGCACTGGAAGAACAAATGGGCACTTACTTAAATTTTGTTTTAAAAGTAACAGCAATGATAAAATAGGGGGGAATAATCCATTGACCTTCAGTGCCTGCACATAAATATCAACAGTATTAAAAAAAAAAAAAAATTTAGTTCCTTACAATTAATGGCCATCATACTACATGTTCAGGGGGAAATTGTTCATTTGCTTGAATATCCTATTAAAGAATCAGAAAGGAATAAATATTGCATTTCCTTGGACGGAGTTTTCAGAACCTCAACCACCCAAAGCATTCATTATGTCCCTCAATTTAGACTTTCTTTTTAGACTTCTAAAAAATGTTCCATTATATTTGGAAAATATCTTCTTATAAGCAGAATTATTTGTAAGAGCTTCTCTTTTTAATTGGGTAAATTTAGATTCTGTACCAAAATGAAATAGACTTACATAGAAATAGAAAGGACTTACAATTTTTGGCATCTATATTTGGCAAAATATTCAAAACAATTTTGTTTTAAATATATTTGTCAAAACAGATAATAGCAAATGTTGACAAGGACGTGCAGAAATTGGAACCCTCTTACATGGCTATTGGGAGTGGAAAATGGTGCTGCCACTTTGGAAAAGAGTCCAGCAGTTCTCATTTTTTTAAGAAATAAAGTTTTCTCTACCTGCCCTGGAGAGTCTGCTCTTAACACTTTGAAAACCACGGGGCCCTCAGCCAGGTTGAGAGACTGACCTCACTCCCACTAACATTCTTCCCTTTGTCCTACAGTATGTGTCCAGCTGTCACGCGGTCACTCAGAGTGCACCAGAGCAAGGCGGCTACCCCCATCACCACCTCAGCCGCCACCACCGCCACCACTGCTCCCACCACCACCTCCTCCACCATGTCCACCCTCGCCACCTCCGCCATGAGGAGTCAGAGCTACATGCTGCCCAGATGACCCCCTGCATGTGCCCCTTGTTCTCCTGCCAGTGGGAAGGCCACCTAGAGGTGGTGGTGCCCCACCTGCGGCAGACGCACAGGGTTGATATCCTTCACGGAGCTGAGATAGTTTTCCTGGCGATGGACATGCATCTCCCTGCTCCAGCTGACTGGACCATCATGCACTCTTGCCTCGGCCACCACTTTCTGCTGGTGGTTAGGAAACAGGAGAGGCATGAAGGGCACCCCCAGTTCTTTGCCACCATGATGCTGATTGGGACCCCCACCCAGGCCAACTGTTTCACCTACCGCCTGGAGCTCAACAGAAACCATCGGCGTCTCAAATGGGAGGCCACGCCACGATCAGTCCTTGATTGTGTGGACTCAGTGATCACTGACGGGGACTGCCTCGTCCTCAACACCTCACTGGCCCAGCTTTTTTCTGACAATGGCAGACTTGCCATTGGAATCATGATCACTACGACAGAGGTCTGCTCCTCAGAAGCTAAGATGTGAAGCAAGAGGACACCAGAGGCTCACCCACAGCTACCACTCCTCCAAGAAACTCTGCCTGTGTCCCTCAGATCTCCAAATTCCAGGACTCCAGACTCCTTTTTATTCTTCTCCTTCCTCCCCTCCCTTCTTCCCTTTCTTTTTTTTTCTTTTTCTTTTTTTTGTCTCAGATACTTAGTGATATATAGTATTTGTCTGCATTGAGCATCATACTACGTAAACATCCTGTAATTCAAGATCTTAATGTAATGTTTGTCCTGATTAGTTTCTGTAGAAATGGTTTTATAGATCATTTTTGTCACATTCCATCAGAATGGTTATTCCCACCATCCCCAATTCCCTTCTCCATGGCTTCCAAAATGAGCCAAAGCCACTGAGACCACGAAGCAGACTGTTGAGGTTGAAAAGAGGCTTGGAATCTAAATCATTTCTTCCTTCTCTTTCTGGTCCATTTCAAGTCAAACTAACTCTACAGTGGGTGAGAACAGACAGGTTGGAAAGGGGACACCACTGTGACACCATCGCAGGAATCTCAGGCTCAGAGTTCTGCTGCTAGGTGTGGGGGAATGGTGTCTCCTTGGAAGACCAGGACACCAGGCTGGAGGCACCATCACACCGAGTCCTCTGGGTCAATCCCAGGGTTCACAGGAGTGGGCAGATGTTGAGCCCTCTATTGGCAGGCTGCCAGGGACTTGCTTTTGGCCTGTGCAATCTTTTCCTGCTCTGGAATCCAAGTCTTCACATTTTTGGTGCTTTCTTGAAAACCTCTCTGCCCTCCTTTGTGCAAGTAGTAAAAAATTATGGGCAAGATGTGGGGAAAGAGAAGCAGCTAAAAAAATGAAGGATAAAAATCCATCTCCTGCCTCTGGAAAGGTGTTCTGTCCTCAGTTTTATTATCAAGTTATAAATCCATCAGACCTTTCACTAATGTGGAACATTTTTGTATCATGCAAAGAATCCACTGTCTCTTGGTACCTTGTAAACCAGAATCACGACTCACCATCAAACACAAGGAACTTGGAGTCTGTGTCCAGGCCCTCTGACCTGGTGGGCTGGCCAGTTTCTCACATACCCGGGAGGGTCCTCTTTCTTTTCCCTCCTTTCTAAAGTGCTCTGCAGGCCCATTCAGCACACAAATGTTATCACTAGTCAAGTATGTATTTGGCACCTGTTGCGGTGTGAATGAAAATTCGTATTGCCTCTACATAGATGGCTTTCTCTTATTTGGTTGTCAGAAGAATTTGTCAACTTCTTATAGAAATCTCTCATATTTGAAGAAAATAGCATGTTTAGTCAACTTTGTATCTTCTGTTTAAGGCTGAATACCTGTAAGCCTTCCCAGTAGGCCCTCTTCTCCCTCCTTTTTGTCATTTTTGTTCTTCCCTTGGCTACTCTCCAGTTGCTGCAGAAGCATGGCACCCAAACCCCACATAAGGCTTATTAGAACTGAGCAGGCTTTTTGCTAGCCAAATGCAGCTGCCTGCTGCATTTCCTCACCTCAGTCACTTTGGCTGGATCCTTGCCAGCCTCCAAGTGAGTACTTAGAGTACTTAGTTTCAGGCAACTTGCCCTGGCTAGCCATCAGCAACACTTTCCCAACCAAAAATAATCCTGAAACACAACATCCTTCCCTTAATGACCTCTAACCACCTGTGCCACCATCCCACACCCCAAGCGCCTTAGGGTGGTGCCAGTTAATAGAAAATTTAATAACAAAGCCCCGTCTAGTCACACAATTATTGCTGGGATTCTAGAGCTGAGGTTTCTTTCTCTTAGAGCCCTAAGGAGGGCAGTAACTATTGTGTCACTTACTGAGGCAAACGTCAGGTTGCAACTTCCTTTCTCCTAGCACGGTCAAGATGTCAGACCAGGGAACCAGCTGTCCTTGTCAAACCACACTGATAGGCAGGATCAAGAGGGGGCCAGTTGGTCAGCACTAAGAGAGACTGGCTCCTTTCTTTATCCCCAGGCCCTTACCTGGAACCTAAGACCTCCTTGACTCCAAGTCTGTTTCTTCTGGAAGCCACAGTTCTCCCCCCGGTTTCTGGTACTCAACCGCTTTAGCATTTGTGTAGCGTCTCAGGTGCCCAGATAATAAACAAACAAAACCTCAATAAGAATATAGTGTTCACAGAGCCTTGGAGCTCCTGCAAACATCACCTCTGCCTTTTTGTTGTGCCAAGTTACCTGAGCCAAACTGGGGATAACTTTCACATTATTGTTACTGCTCACAAGTCTCTATTATGAAAAAGTGATCCTAGATAGGAACTGATATTTTTGGTCCTTAGAAACCTTTAGAATAAAGGGTAGAAGTGTATTATTTTTGTCCATCTATGGTGCTGACAAGAAGCTCTTTCTCTCCATATTCACATGAGAAGAATGGAAGAAAAATGAGCCAACTGAAAACAATGAATAGGGACTGAGATTGGTACCAACAAAACATTTTGAGTTGAGCTTTATCATCATAAAAAACTCCTTTATTTGACTCTGAGGTTAATCCTCATCAGCATCCTCAATATACTTTAAAAAATTAAGGTTCAGAGACACAAAATGATTTTCCCAAAGTCATGCATAAAATGGTTGGGACCACAACTAGAACCCAGTAAATTAACTGCAAACTTGGTTTTCTTGCAATAGGAAGACTGACTCAAAATATTCCTCAATGTTCCTACCTCATCAGTGGACTGTGGACCTGAGGGTCAACTGCATCTTGGTCCTGGGATATTTACAGGAACAGGGAGAGAGACTTGCTTTAGAGGCACCTCATCTTGAAGAGCTGGTCAATCTGGAAGTGGGGAGTAGGTAGGGGAACAGCTTGTGGGAACCAGCATGTGGAGTCTTCAGTGCCCTCAGACCCCTTTCTGTGTCCCATCACCAACTCCAGGTTTCTCATTCTTAGATTCCCTGGAGTCTGCCCTGTGCAGAGCCCTGGGAACTGGCCACCCTCTAAGGAGGATTTGCATTTTCAAAGTAGGCTTATGGAGGCAGCAGCACTTAACAGTAAGAAACAAGTTAGCAGTATTTGAACTTTAGGTATCTGTGAGGACAATTTTTTTTCAGGAGATGTAGACCTATGCATTTCTGCCTATGTAGCTGACCCTATATAAATGGTTGTTGCAGAAATAATGGTCAAGCCACACAAAAGATTGTCGTCAACAATCAGTCTCTGCATGATCTTGCATCTGAGATGGATCTCATCACTATCTGCGGCTACCGTGGACATTTTAGAAATACTAGTACTCATAGCTACTATTTATTGAGGGTTTTCTAAGTGACCTAGTGGGCCAACTACTTAAACTATATTATTATCTCATTCAATTCCCATAACAATCTTATGAAGCAAGTACATTATTTTACCCTTGAAAAACTTAAGCTAAGAGAGGTTAGACACTTTTTTAAGGTCACACAGCAAGCAAATGATAGAGATGGGCCTGAAATCCAGCATGTCTAGCTCCAACATCCAGGCTCTTGACCAATGTCAACTATGTCATTTCAATGAATTCATGGACCCAAGGCTCAGAAGGATCAGTCATGAAATCTGAATGGCATAGAGATATTTTAGTACTTTAGTTCTAAATGTGCCCTTTTGTTTCTCCTTTGTTTCCTTCTTTTCCCAGCCAAAGACAGAGCAGTATGCTAGAGGTTAATAAATCTTTAGAGGAATTTGCAAACCAAATGTTAGGCACAGCCATTATTAAAAATTAAATTGTATAAATTTACAATTAAGTAAGTTATAAAACAAAGATAATACTAAAAACTCATCACTTTCTAACTATTTCACTGCTTTTTTTTTCTGTGCTCTAGAGGTTATTTCCATCTATCACATCTGTATGGTGAACCTACTTTATTATGATGTCCTACAGCATCACTCCCAACTCCACGTTTAGTGACATAGCTTGAAATTGACCACGATGATAGTATTTACACTATGGAAATTGGCAAGTACTATAAACTAGCCTTTTTCTCCTCAGAGAGATAGTTGTTAGCCCAAAGCCAGCACAATCCTGCCTAGGTATCTCTAATACACACATTAGGATAGGGACTTTATATGAAGAAGCAAGATTCTGGTGGCCACACTGACAGGGGCACAGTTGACAGCCAAGCCAATGAAACAGCTAATTATTGGGAAAATGCAAACTGTTCTGGAGAAGATATTCTGAGACTTCTAAGCTACTTCTAGAGCATTCCTTGACCTACTCCAACCCTTTCTCTCTTGCTGTTAATGTGGTAAATTTTAGCTGATGACTTTCACAGAAAAATCATGGCTCCACAAACCGCCTATTGGCCATCCCAATCCAAAAAGTAAAAGCAAGACTAAACTGATATCACCTATTACTTGTTATTACAGGTCATCTTTCTTACCTCCACATGTATCCCAAAACCCAATCAAAAGAAATATTTTACTTTCAAGTTAGAAATGGGAAACATCCAACATCTGAGAAGGGCACAGTGAGCAGTGGTTTCAAACATCACATAAAGTGTGTGACCACAAAAGTAGGAACCTCACATAGCACAAAGCTGAGGGACAGAAAAGGGAATGAGCCAAGAGATGAGTTACATGAAGAACAGAATCCAGCACTTTACCTTTCTACTCTGGCTATTTCACTTTATTGCAACCCAGCAAGGACTCTGTTCACAGTCGACAGCCTGCACAGAGCAATACTCTTTCTAAATTAAGGGCATATTCCCGCTAAGATAAAAGTCACAGGAAACTGCAGGCTGAGTGCCTCGAAGCAGGCAGAGTCCCCAAATCCAATAGTGAATCAGTTACTCTGAACCCAGTGGTTTCAATGTAAAGGATGGAAGAGGTAAGACTTGTTGAAGCTTCCACTTGAATCCAAGTTCTAGTGGAAGGGGAAGGGACTGTGGACTGTATAGCAAAGAATTATGCTCTGATTAAAGTTCAGCTACAAATAGAATCATGAGTAAGAGCAGAGTCTCTCAGAAGATTGTTAAACCTTCAGCATATTTGTTTGAAAAATTTCCTTGAAGAATTGGTGAGT